AGCATTTTCAATCCGACAACAATTAAAGAGTCTAATTAAATTCATTAAAGATGGAGGGAACCCTCATAATATACAGATTGGGGAAAAACTATGTTCAGTTCCTATGATTCAAGTACAAGATAAGAAGGAGCAGAATGAGGGAACACCTTCAAAATATCTACCGGATTGCTCTTCAGACATGGGGGCCCCTCCACCACGACCACGTGCACCTGAATTGACAGATCTCAATGAAAATATGCATTTTTCCAGGCTTTTGCGCACACTTGATAAGGGAATATACTACATAGAGTTCGGGACACCGAAAAAAATATGTTTTATTTCAACTAACGACCCTAGATTTGCTCGTGCACAGTTAATGAGACTGTATCCTATACCAGATAGTGTTCCCGAATCATTCAAAACCTTCATGATCAAAACTTTCAAATTGCTGAGAATGTTCAACTGAATAACATTAAATATTCTTAGATTTGCATGAAAAAAAAAATAATGCAGCTATCAACATATTAAAACGGTCAGCAGCAGCCATGTAGAGAAAGATCTACAAGAGAAAGGAATGAAAACACAACCGATGTATCTTGAGAAGGGATAGCGGGCGCATGGCTAGAACACGCACCGGTCACTACCTAGCTTCCGATTATGGCAAGCATAGATTATCTGAGAAGCCAGAAGCTACTTAATCTCTGAAACATCCCATCTGCAGCTGACCTCCAATCGAATCATCTTAATTTACAAATTAGCTGCCGATTGAAGCTATGTCTTTCCATTACAGAATTTTTTGTGCTTTTTAACTTTCTGTTAATTCCCATAAATACCCTGTGTGCATAAATTAAACTAATATAATACTGATCATACAACAAATTAAAAAATCTAATAATGACCTCCAATCAAATCATCGACTAACTTTTTAACATTCGGACATCTACAACTATGAAACTCAATATTCTCTAGCTTTTGCTATATTTATAAATTACAATTTTTACTATTATGTATTATGGCTTCCACATTAAAGATCAGGCCAAATGCACTTATCTGCTATATTCCTGCAGAATGAGATAGATTTTTAGTAAAACAAAAGACAGATTTTAAACTCAGACTAATTAATGCCAAATAGACGAAGGTCTCGGCTCTTTATACTTATCGGATATGGCTTGTCTATAGTTAATATCTCCTTCGGTACTCCGAAGACGATTGTTCTTTCTAATAATATATATTTAAAATGAAGTTTGACTTACGAATTGTGTTTCCAGATTTGCCGCCGCCTGTGATCTGCGTTTGGGTCGCGTAAACGTCTTCGAATTAAGTTTGTATGCTTGACATATAATATATATACATATATATTAGTTTTAACTAATTAATTCATAAAAAAAAATGGTTGTGCTGGGTGTGTATGTGAGTATAGTAGTTTTTTCTTAAAAACTATGCATGTGTATAAAACATTCAAAAGTCGCCGACATCCAAAAGCACATCCTCGTTGATGACCAGCAACATTTCATCGTCGGAGCACAAGAGCGTATCATCGACTTCCTGCTCTAGCTTACCGTGCGCAACAACAGAAGCCTGTGTCGCAAACTGAGGCATCTCTTCAAAACTCGGCAGCACAGCTTTAGTTTTAAATGATTTTTTGGGCTCGATAGCCAGTTTTGGCATGTCATTGCTAATTTCTTCTAATTGGTCATCAATGTTGCAGGACTTGTCATGGGCTTGCTTATGTTGGCTGGCTAATGGAGCTGCTATGGCCTGGGGAGCTACCATAATTTGCTTGCGCCTGACTTCTTGTTTGGCACCCAATGTGATGTTCAGCATATCGTTGGTAATAACCCATCTTGGCGGCACACCTGGGCGCATTACAAAACTTCGCGAATATATGCGCCTTTGCCAATCGTTGTTGGTTGTCAGCTCACTGCAGCTACCGGTTAATGTAAAGGCGCGCAATTTATTGTTGTAAATGTGTACCTCCAGCCGCGCTTCATCGATGCTTGTCTGCATCTCGGGAAGTTTGCAAATGGTTTGGACCACATTCTTTACGCCGAAACGTAATTTGCCACAGAGTGCAAATGATGACCGCAAGTGCAGGTGATTTCGATTGAACAGTTTATAACAGCTGTTGCACTGCAAGGACTGCGTCAGCTCCCTAGGCGCGGAAAACGAGAACAGGGCCTTGGCATCATAATAAATGTCTAGCTCCGGACGACAGCTAATTTCATCAAATATGTTATAGTAGAATTTGGCGAACCCAGCGCAAAACGCGAAACCTTCAATATTAATGCTATAAGCACCTTGTGCTGATGGGGATGGCGCTCTCATCAATTTTTGAGATTGTAGCTTTTGGCTGTAGCCAGAGATGTGCACCCCTTGTGGCAACATTGCGCTCAACTGCCACGGATCGTATTTGGCTAGCGGATTGTCTGCAATCTTCAAAGTCTGCAAATCTATGTTTCGTAAATTCTTAAGCTCCATTAAGCCCTGAATTTGATTAGCGCTTACATCCAGCATTTGCAGCGCAGGCATATCAGCACGTGAAATCCCATTAAAGGCGCGCAGTGTGCACAAAAAATTGTCACGTAATTGGAGAATCCGCAACTGCGGAAACTGTTGGGATATCATAAGCAGCACTCGCTGCAGCATTAGCAAGGCATGCAGTGCACAAAAGTGACCCTCTAGCTCAGCGACAGCATGAAAACGCGACAGATTCAGAGTCTCACTATCAGCTTCATAACAGGCAAAAAGCGCCGTCCTAATGGCGACTAGTAGTTCGGGCGTAAATTGCGACGTCGTTAACATATTTGAAGGCAGACCCTGTTCCACAATTATATTGATAAGTTGGCTACTGTACAGCACAGAGACTTTGCCGCTGAGTCGCTTCAAACGATTGGCCATCAGGACATTATCTACCAGGAATTGGCCACAGTTACCGCCGTGGCTGCGTTTGAAATCATACAGCTGCACTTTTAGTGGCATCATGGCGTATTTCAAAGCCAGCATAATGGAGCTATCTGGCAATTCCATGCAATTGGATATAGTCACTGTAAACCAGCCAGTGACATTTATCATTTTAGGTGTTGCACCGTGCTCCTGCACGTATTTATCCAGCACTTTGCACAAATGAACGGGAGTTAGATCGCCAATCCACACGCCAACGTATTCCTTGAATGTGCTGCTTCCGAGGTTTCTGTTGCTAGCTTTTAATATATTTACTGGCGTTCGTATTTTCATGTTGATCCGACGACCATTTCTAATGGCGTTTTCCTTAGTCTTTCGAAACACACTCATTTTGAGAACTCCGATATGAAACTAAAAATGCCACTTTTTCGCTATTGGCAGAATTTTACAGTTACACGACGTTGACATCTGAACAGTGTTGGCTAACTGCGCGCCTTTAAAAATTGCTTTTAAACTAGCAAATGCCATTCACACTTATCGCATTATGCAAAATTTTACAAAACGGAAAATGTTAAGTGCCAATCAAAAATTGAATATATACATGACCTATACTAAAAATAAACTTTTCTGGGAGAGTTTATATAGTACAACATGCCTTTAAATAGGCGACTGCTTAGGGATACTCCAATTTTTCTCATTTTTCATTTAAACACATTTTTCAGATTATAAGTTATCGAATGAATTGGCAAAACTATATGTTTAATTGTTTAATATGCCCAATATATTTATATAGCTTATTGTCGGCTGAAAATCAATTTAAACCATGGCCATAATAAAACCACGCATAACTGTTTTATTAGTTACTGTAGATATTAACGAGCGTTAATTCCTGTCTACAATAACATTGGCCAAATATGGGTAAAACAAACAAGTAGTACCCAAGGGTACGGGTCAGTAAGCGGCTTGCCCGCCTACACTCACCAGAAAAGCAATCAACGTTGTTGCCGTCTATTTAACCCACATGTGAATATGTTTTAGAAAGCTCCAAAGGCAAAACATGGTCTGCATTTATGTGTCTGTGTTTATATGACCTATGACTGGCATACATGTATGATGCATGTACCTACCTTGTTCATTGTTTGGCTGCAAATGCAGTTGCGTCTGCATCTGCGACTGCTGTTGATTATTTGTTTTCCACTGCTGAAGAATGTTTGAGATATCATCGTGCGTTTTATCTGCCAGAAAACTGTCATTTCAAAGGAAACAGGCCTTAAGTATTTTTAGCATATGAACCAACGGCAAAAGCAATTGGAAATGTTACTACATACATGTATGAATCATCCTTTAATGCTTCGTCGATATCCAGTATATCCATGTCCTGCTGATGTGAAAGTATAAACTTTTGGCTTAAACTAAGTAAGTATCTTCAATCTATGCGCTGAAAGCAAGCAAAATATTTACTCTCGTTGGTTATAAGCGAATAGAAAAATTCCTTTGCTTCGGCCTTAGTTTCGCTGTACACGCAGACGTCACAAACAAAAATATACCAATCAAATGTTTTGTTTACATTGTTGCTTTCTTTTGTGCCTAACATTCATAGCTATGTAGTGTAATCGTTTTAAATCATACTTATATATTATATTCACCGTATTAACAAATTAATGGGCAGCCGTACAGAGCAGAGCACGGACATTCTTTAGCGAAACATCGACATAGACGGAATCAGCGATAAAAAGCAGGGATGCAATAAACACTCAAATATATTGAGTTGTAGTTTATGGAACCAGTAGGTTCGTGAACTAGTTTACATTTACTAACCAGGTCTAACGATTGCTAAAGATCAGATTTTGTGCGATCGATCTCAAATTTATATTTGAAGCTATACGTAAAAATTACGAGGTATATGTTTCATTTTGAAAAATCCACATATTAAAACACATATTTTTGGATCAGCTTCAAATGAATATTATTTAGATATATTTATATAATATATTATATTTACATGCAAAATTTGTTAAATTGCCAGTTATTTCTTTTTAAAATTTAAAAATACATATATTAAAATTTAATTTAATAAAAATGAAAAACATAACTGGCAATCTCACAAATTTTTCTCTGGAAAAAAATTTTTGTTAAGCAGGATAATTTTAAATTTAATTTTTCGAAATATGGTTATGTTCTTAACGATTTAAATAAAAATAAATTAAGCAACCAAACAAGAACTGTATGGCTTCTAATCGGCATAAACACGCACATAATCGATAATCATCGCGCTGCTTTTTCCCCAAGTGGAAGCCCAGGTATCACGACTTTGCCAAAACGAAAGGGCGGCACGCGGCTGTTGATTCTTGTATGGCTTTACATCGTTCATTAAAATATTATCATCGAAATTAAGAAATCCGCCCACTGTAACGCCAAAAATTATGAAACACTTCTCATTAAAAAATGGCAAGCCATCGTAGATCTCTCCGTAAATCTCATCGTCCACCATTAGTGTTAGCTTATCCCGTTGCCAGACCATTGTGTAATTGTGGAAGTCATCACCATAGTGCTTTGTATTTAATCGTTCCTTAATAAATTGCACCGGCCGATCTTCTTGCCAAACGATCATGCCACCATATAACCGATTACCCGATATGTCTTCCTGCTTAGTGCTGCGCAAGTGAGCGTTACCACGAGCATAAGCAATGCCTGAAATTGATTAGATTACATATCATTTATCATTTTCACTTTTAGTTTTAAAATAAAAAGACATTATTTTATGCCCTGTATTCCCCCATTATTTAACATTATTACCTAAGTTAAGTCGCTTGAAATTTATTGCCTCTGATCTTTAAATTTGCAAAAGCTATAATGTGGGAGCCTGATCAAAAATTCTTACATTTTCTTTTAATGATAATTTATTTGTTGACATTATGAAAAAATTAAAAGTTTCAATAACACAAACAGCTGATAGAAAAAAAGGTTAATTTTGAAATGCCATTAGAAATTGTAATCATTGTACATTTTTTAACATTGAAAGATGAAAAACTATCAAAAATAATCAATTAAACTAGTCCCCTACTACGAGGCCAATTTCAACTTGTGGTAGAAGAATTTGTGCAACAAGCCGAAAATTGTTTATTAAATGCAAGCGATATTTTTTCCTCACATGTCACCGATAAGGAACAAGGCTAGTGAAATCACAAAATGGCAAGTATGTAAATGTAAGCTGTGCATATATAAAATTATTCGAATCAATTTTATCAGCGGTACTCCAGTTTTCGTTTGCGCAAGTCTCGCTCGATTCCGTTTTCGAAACGTGTTGCTGGATTTCGAAAAACAAAATTCTCCTTCGTTTTCAATACGGGTAATTTTTTCACTAAGTATTATTTTGATGTCCTATCATAAAAACGTAAGCTTTAAAAACAATTGGCAGAACAACAACACTTCATTTTCGCCTGTCCGAAAGAATAATTTTCTCATATTATGCGAAAACGGGAGTATGTATTTTAAAATGAATTCGCGGGCTATCGATAAACACGCAAAATGCAAACCTAAGGTGGAAACCGGAGCACTACTATATATAATATGGTATTAAGAACTAGTTATAGCCAAAATACCGTTACTTACGAAGTTGATTGGCATAATGGGTTTCCGCGTGTGTCGAGACTGGTTGCAGCATCACATCTGTGGATTGTTATTGGTAATAAGCTTTGTGCTACCTTGTTAAAGTCAAACCACTTACATGGAAATAACCAATCGCCTTTTGGCAGCTTGGCACGCACCACAATTTTGCCATATTTAAAGCTAAAGGTCTGGCGTGTATGTAGTTGAGCCGAATATACAGGAGGCTTGATTTTATAGAAGCTACCCTTGGCAATGCTGCACTCGAGCTCCGGATTGTCAACAGCTGTACAGCGATCGCCTAGCTGGTAGACGCCCTGTGTGACTTCGTTGGCTACCATTGGCACAATATGTAGGTGTCCCTCCCGCACATACGAATAGCGCGGCGAGTCATCAAATGCCACCAGCTCCTCTTCCACATGGTACATGCGCTGACGTATGTCATGCGTCCAAACGCTGCGATTCAGTTGTGCGCCACTAAAGTTGTCCTCAAAGAGCAGCTCGCCCTGACATGTGCCTTGACTATTGCTCACAATGCTGCTGGCTGGCTTGCAATGCTTCCGCGGTTTTTCTGAACTGAGATTTACCTGGCACTCTTCCGCGCTGCTGCGATTGCTGATGTTCCGCGAGATGCTTTGTTGTGTGGTAAGCAGCCGAGTGTTGAGTATTACCCGCGTCTCGCTCTTCTCATATATTAAATCATTATATTGCACCAATATAGAGATTTGTAGTTTATCGTTGTTTTGCAGGCTAATGCTTTGTTTGCTAGTCCAGCTCCCATTGGTGGCTTGCGTTATGTAGTCCATTAGAGCCGGACATCTGGAATCCACTTGCAGCATATAAAAAACGCGTTGCATGCCTGGCTCATCTATAATCATTATCATCACAATGGTGACCTTGAAGTTAGTCGCACCACATACCAGGTATGGAAACCTCAAAACCGCGTTCATTCAACATTTCCATGTCCACGCTAGGTATTTCATATGCCAAGTTTTGTGTGCATTTCAAAAGAAGCCACGCAAAGGAGAAGCTTAGAAAAAGTTGGCAGATCATGACGCAGTTTTATTTATTATGCTAATATTACACGATTTTTTTTTAATACGTATCGTTCTGGGAAACTTGGCGCCTCAACTGTTGCAAACCCGTCAAGTTGCATTTGGTGGAAGCTTAACAGCTAAAAAAGCTTTTTAGTTACTAATCGTAAAGCTTTCCTTGAGTAAAACAAATCTTATAATATTATTTATAATATGAGAGAACGGAGTGAACGATTGAATTGAATAAAAGCAAGAGGGGCTACATTTCGCTAACTAAAGTTTTAATAATTTTCCAGAAATACGGCTCACGATTTTGAAGAGATGTGAGAAAAGTATGGCAGCTATATATGTTAGGAGCATACTGAAAATAATAGATGCCGAGCTTAGTAAAGATATTTTAACAAACAAAAAATATTTTGTTTATTCGCCGATCATTTCCATGACGTCTGTAGAATCCTGCCGGCTCCGACATATACTGTCTGAAACAAAAAGAGCGCTCGATAGCAAAGGATAGTCTACAATTAGAAGGACTATTTTTCAAAAAAAAGGAAGACACAACCGGACATGAATGCATCACACAATAACTTATTGTATTGTAAGGTAACTAACATATTTGTTTATAGAATTTTCATTAATTTGACTCTCAAGTGTCTTCCAGCGAATTGATGGGATGCTGGTGGCCATTATAAAACTAAATTATCCTGAATAAGAACCCAATATGTAAGAATTTTGAGTTATAAATGTATTATATTATAATTACCCAAAGATTACTGTTATGCTATTGGACATTTGCTGAAGTTAAAAAAAAACTAATAATATTTAAGAACTTAACATTAACATTTACAATCAGGCATCCTGCAGAGTTTTTGAATGTATAATAAAAAGGAACTATGTTTTGTCAAACTATATTCTGTCTATAAGAGTTACATACATACATAGGTCAAATGTGAGGCATTCAATTTTGAGATGCGCCCATTTTGAAGCCGTGTGAATGAATATTTAGTTGGGCTGTTTATTTATTTATTGTTTGATTGTCATAAAACTGTCTGATTCGTACTCAACAAGCAAGTCTAATAACGCCAATGCAATCACTAAGCATACAATATGGTATGCTTCATGGGAGTTGAAGAAAAAAATAGTTTTCTATCGATAGTTTATATATATTATGTGTATGATCAAATTTTAAAAAATATGTTTCCTATAATTTAGGAGCACAGTGAAGCTCATAAATGACAAGTTTGGTCAAAAAAACTTGAAAAACCCAAATTCATGATGAATCATGATGAATAATATGTGCAAACAGACTTTTTGGATCGATTATTCTAGTGCAGTATATTTTGATGCCGCCGATGTGAGATACTTCATGTACTGCCTGCAACAAATGGCTATCATGAATTGACATAATTGATTAAGTCACCCCCACCTACCTCTTGTGGAACGATTATAATACCCTCTGCAAGAGTACGAAACAGTATATTGGTTGCTGTAGTGACGGCTTTCGGTGTTGCTGTAAATGATCGATATATTGCCCCGTTTCCATAAAAATGTCGAGGTCTGTTAAGAAACACAGAAGTTATTTAAGAAAACGTGGGATCATGTTGGCTGCTCTTTTACGAAGCTTTTTCCTGTAAGCTGCTGATTGTAAGTATGTTAGTATAGTAGGCATGTATAATTTGTATAAATACGTATGCATTTTCAAATTAAATCAACTTAATGAGTCTTTATGCGAAATACCAGTCGATGTAATCGCGGTTTCGGATAGGATATTATAAATTTATCATGAAATGTGTAACGGAAAGAAGGAGAAATTACCGACCCCATTTGTTATATATTTTCAAGATCAGCATCAACAGTCGAGTTGATATAGCCATGTCCATCTGTCCGTCTGACTGTTTTTATGAGAACTCGTCTTTCAGTAGCATAGCTATAGTCTTAAAATTTTGCATAGGTCCGACTCTCTGTTGCATGCATGTTTCATGTTGCTGCCATAGGAACAATCGGAGGAGCATTCAGTTCTTGCGAGTAAAACTTTTTTTTTCAAGATATATTGACCAACCCCCGGCGCTTACTATTAAAACTATTCTGCTGATATATGAGCCAAATGATATAGCTCTATAGGAAGAATCGGTCTCAGTATAGGAAAATATTATGTTCATCAAAAACAGCATTTACGAGCTTTACTTGCAAACCCGTAAGGCAAATGTCTACAAGTGTCTACCTAAACCTATTGAAAATGGGTAATAAAAACGTATATTGGTCTTGAGCAAATGTTGGTAACATACTCAACGAGGTATTGTCCGACCCCATTAAGTATATATATTGTCGATAAGGACTACAAGCTGAGTCAATTTAGCCATGGCCTTCTGTTCGAGCTCGAATGCCAGTCCGAAATTGGAAATATATATTCTCCTAAGCTATACGCAAAATCGGTTATGAGGCTTAGTTTCTTAAGAATAATTCAAAACCTGTAGGATCAACAAACAGAGAAGGTAATCAACATTAAATTTTCACTGCGTAATGTGCGAAACTGAGTTTGTGTGATAAGCTGAAATATATGTATATTTATATTTACCTTCATAAGGAATATAGAAAGCCTTTTGGGCTAAATTTGATGTTTTGACCAATCTAATGCAAATGAGAAAAATGGGTATTAGGGGTCATTCTATGTCACGAGCATTCTGAAGCAGAAGGTTGAGGGTGTAATTTGCGTAATTTCTTTTAGCATACAATAGAAATGCTATTTATTATTTAGTTCAAAAACTAAAGCATGTTTAAATACTAGCAGAATATGCTGCAATGGGACCAGCACTACGAGAACTGTTTTACGCAAAGCTGTCGAATGGAAACAAATTGTTCTAGAGAGCAGCAACTCATCATCAAGAACGAATTAGAAAATGTGAAACCGGTCTGAGAACGTTCGCCTCAGTTATTAACGAAGCGTCAGAGAGATCGGGCTGAATATAATGCGTGCAGCTAAAAGATTACACACAGAAAAGCTGCTGCTGCTATTTTTTCTTTGTCGTTCGATTGTCGTCATTTTTTCCTATAAGTTGCCCGCAGCCCTAGTGGAGCCATTGGCAAACGGTTTTCGTGTGTCCATACCAGGTAAATTGAAGTTAGCTCCAACAAACTGACATCCAGACATGCCGAATTGTATTTCAAGATGATCGTGGAATAAAAAGTGTGGCTTTCAATGTGAATCGAAATCGCAATTTTACGGACTTTGAGGAGGGTGAGTTTAGTGCCCAAGTACGCGAGCCAGAGGATGGACGCTGGCAACATGATTTTGAGCGAGCAGCGCTGAGGGCACATGACACGCTTTATATTTGGACCAACGTGCAGCATGGCAATGTAATCTATCGCGATAAGAGTCTGCCGCTGCAGGTTTGTCAACTGTCGGGCGATAATTTGCCTGCCGAATGCTCGATGAGCCCTCATCAGCATCAGAATCGAGAGACTACAACAGTCAAAACTGATGCAGCATACAAAGGATCAACGCCAAAGGCCTCGTCTTGCGCCGAGGAAAGCGAAACGGTGATGTCACCTCCCCCAAGCCACCCGCTTTGCAAGGGTCAACTAATATTCGAGGAAGAATTTGAGAACTTGAACGAGAGCCGTTGGCTACACGATGTTCGGGCACCACTTGACAGTACTGATGCCGAGTTTGTGCTCTACGATGGAAAGGCGCGCGTGCTGGGCGGCCAACTGATCATCGAGCCTAGGCTGTGGTCTAGCTATCGACCCGACTTGCACATAACCAATGCCCATCTAGATTTGTCCGACCGCTGCACAGGCACGCACAATAGGCAAAAGGAGTGTGTGCTTCTAACAAGTGGACCACTTATTATGCCTCCAGTGGTGGTGCCGCGGCTGAGTACAAAGGAATCCTTTGGCTTTAAGTATGGCCGCGTCGACATACGCGCTAGGCTGCCCAAGGGCGACTGGCTCATACCGCTATTGCTGCTCGAGCCCCTAATGGAGTCATATGGCCAAACTGGCTATGAATCTGGTGCGTTCATGGCATCATCTTGTTCTGAACTATAAATATGCTTATTGTTATCTTTGTGATAGGTCAGCTGCGGGTGGCCATGGCCCGCGGCAATGATCAGCTGCGTCTACCGCATGGTAAGCTAATCGATGGACGCACTATTTTCGCTGGAGCAGTGCTGTCGACGGAGGCGTCTCAGCGTGAGGATTTCATGGTGCAACAGCGGCGAAGCGTTCATTTCGGCGACGACTTTCATGTGTACAGCCTGATATGGAGCAGTCAAAGCTTGCGATTTTCAATTGATGGTCAAGAATACGGTGAACTGTTGACTGGCTTTGCTGAATCCGACCTAAACCCCAGCTGGCGTCGGGGAGGGCCCATGGCGCCCTTTGATCGCATGGCAAGTATATAAAAGCAAACACCAACACGACCATATGGAGCAATTTTATCGTTCCCATTAAAATATGATAAAAAGAGGGTATAATGAGTTTCTGTAATTGTATGTAACACGCCGGACGACGCATCTGATCCATCTTATCAGCCCAATCGGGTTAGAAAGAGAAAGAGTTACGAGCAGGAGAATTACCAGAATCTTGATTTGTCAAATGCTTATGAGAGCCTACATTCTTACATTATCTTTATCTCTTCATAATAATATTCAGTTTATCTTCACATGCGTACATATACTATACAGTGGTCCGATTCGCCCAATTCCGACATATGTACTGCCTACAACGGAAAGACGGACCTATGGAAGACAGGCGGAAGTTTCAACACGGTAGATTTAAAACTGGGTGCGATATCAACTCGTCTGTTGATGCCGATTAAGAATATATATAGTTTATTGGGTCGGAGATATCTCCTTCTATGTGTTACACATTTCATGACAAAATTATAATACCCTCTACAAGGGTATAAAATCAGCCTTTATTCTAAATTGAAGGACTGCAATATCTATATGTTAGTTTGGTGCGCTCACTAAAACAGACAGACAGACAAAGCTTGATGGTTTTGGATCTACTTTGTCCTCTAAAAATTATTCACTTTATTGGCTCAAAAATGTCGAATTCTACTTGTTACATACATGTACACAACATTAATTTACCCTTTTAATAGGTACAGGGTAAAATACCATTGATTTGACAGATCACATTCCAAATCGAAATTCAAATTATTCTTGAAATTTAGTTTTACATCACGCTGGGCCTCTCAGTTGGCGGCTTCGGAGACTTCGTTGACAAATTGCGCACTTCGAGTTTTGAGAAGCCTTGGATTAACAAGCACCCACAGGCGAAGCTTCAATTTTGGCGGAGCCAGGAGCAATGGTTGCCAACCTGGAAGCAGCCAAAATTGCTCGTCGATTATGTTCGTGTTTATGCAATTTAAGACTATATAAGAACTGACAAATGTATAATTCATATACGTTATATACTCTCTCAAATATTTTAAAATAAATATGTAAGTCGGGAGTGGTCTACTAGAAGATGCCCCAAGCCCAGCGCCGAACTATACATACCTATCCAGTAGTTCTGGCGGTGTCAATTAGAACTCGGGAGTGAGAGCTGCGGCCAAGTGTCCCCGTCGCTTCCCACGGGTGATGCAGCTTTGTTTTTGGTTTTCATTTGTATAGCTTCTTATAAAAGCGTGTAATCCTCTTATGCAGGCTTTCGACAACATTGAACATGTACATACGTACAAGTGAATGTTTTTGTTTTTGCGCAAGAGAAAGGGTATAAGAAAGTCGAGTTGGCGGAGCCAAATTTAGTTTATGTTTTATAATGCAAGTGCAAAAGTATGTAAAGTGGACTGCTGGCTATTGAACCAAAAATTCCATTAAATAGGCAGATTAACTCTATGTAAAATTAAATGATATTATACACAGTTGCGGGTTAATTGTAAATGAATGTGAAATGTATATATGTGTATGCCAAAATGCCAAAAGCTATTGCTATTCTGTGCCATTGAGTGCCATATGTACCTGTATTAGGGATAAATCGAAAGCAAAGAGTGATACCAAAAATGCACGCCTTATGTATCCTTTTTAAATATACATATATATAGTATATTTTTCATAATAATAAATGACTGTTTATTGAAGTACGTTAACGTTGAAAACAGCTGTGATTAAGATGAAGAAGCATTTTAGTTTTCATCGGGATGTGTTGTATAAACACGCACATGATCTATCACCAACTTGGGATGCTTCCATGTTGATTGATTTTCAGATATGCTTTCTAAAAATATTGATGGAGCCTGAGGTGTCAGAAGAAAGTTTTTTTCTAGATTTACATAATTTTCATTAAAGTTTAATTTCCCTCCAGCAGTCAAACCCAATACGATGTAGTACTGTAAAATAATTAATTATTAATTGTAAACTTTTCGTAAACGCTTTTTACCTCAGTTTCTTCCAAGCTTTCGATTGTCCTTTTATCTGTTATAGTGCCAACGGTAGCTCCGTCCACTTTAAATATAATTCGATCCTTGTGTCGAATCAATGTATAGTCGTGAAAATTATCCCCGTAATGTGATCCTGATTTGTGTGGCATATTCACCGTAGCCTCATGAAAATCGTCACCTATCTGACTGAAGACGCTGCCAAAAAGCATATTTCCTCCAATATCTTGGTGGGCATAATCGCGCAGATGTGGATTGCCTCGCACATATGCGATGCGAATGTGAGGTTCAAACGCAATATTCGTTTCAAATTCCATCTTGCTGGGGTACAGCATTAAATCTGTTGAAATAGAGAATTAAAAATGAAGTCTGCAAGAAGCCTGCAATACTCTGATCACCTTGTTATATTAGCTGGTAAAAAGGCTCAACAAATAAAGGTCTTATATTTTACTATTATAATTATAAATAACCCAATTGCAGTAAAGGGGCAAAAATTTATACAACATTTATTTTGGTCCTGCGGTGGGCGTGGTTGAAATTGCTGACTTTCTATCTAAAGATAGAATTCATTTCAAGTTTGGTTTTTTTTTTTAGTATTAAAAGCGCCGAAATATTACGAATAACACACAGCCAATAAGTAGAGTTACCTTGGGCTGTCTAGCCTTATTATTAGTTGGCTTGCGGGCAGATGGACAGACGGGAGAGATATAAATGTCACACATTGCAAAAAAAAAAATAATATATTACTTTATATAATTACTTTGTTTGTACTCACAGGGGAAGAGCCAATCGCCAATGGGCATTTTAGCACGTATCTCGATCCGACCATATTTAAATCGCATCTTCCTATTATATAGTATTGCCGAGTGCATAGGTGGCAGCGGTTGACTTATACTGAATTTATACGGTCCACACAGAATAACTCTATTATCCGTTTTCGTATAAGTACAATCGGGTAGTGTAAAATTATCGCCTAGCCTGTAGCCCGTCAAAGTGGCTTTAAAATGCAATTTTTCATCTTCTATATAGCAGTTATTATCATTTTTCAAAAAGGCTGCGAATTCTTTAAAATTTGTATGTACCCGGGAGCATACTGCATGAATCCAATTCGTCAATTTGTTGTCCTTGAAGTTTTCCTCAAAAATTAGCCGGCCGCTACAGCCCCTATTTGAATTTGAGTCGGACTCTTCTAGTATGCATTTCGGCTCATTGGTGCCATGCCAATCAGCATTAAAATTATTCGTTTTTGATATAACGTGATTTTTGGTGGCATCCCCATCAGCATTGAAATCATACGTTTTTGATATAACGTGATCCTTAGTTTCAATGACACTGAAAATTCTTATGATATCGTCTTTTTTAGGTTCCTTCTCAAGGCTTATACTAAATGTGTTGCTCTTATTGGCGCTATGAACATAAGTATAGTCTGATGTGCACTCATCTCCGATTTCTGTTGAAAAGAAGATTGAATTAACCTCGGGATCATCTGTAAATAATAAATTTGTTCATTTATTAATTCTTTAAAAACTTAATAAGTAGTAATAAAAATAATTGTTCGTGAAAACTTTTGCACATACCAAGCGTTATGTTAATGTATTTTCCATTTATATTAACCGTTATATCTGATTTTTCCTTCTCGTCGGCGCCTAGGCAACCAACAATGTATCCAATAAAAAATATAGATATTTTAATATGCATTTTAAATGCATCTATTTTTTGCCTTATTATTATAAGGTTATCGATCTATTTGACGGTCCAACTGGTCGTATTCGACTAGATCTGCGGCTCTCAATCCAAAAACGTAATGCTACGGACGCGGCTTGTCTTACGGCGGAAAAAACGATAACCCGAGTGAATGAGGTCTAGTGCTGTCGCGTTATTGTTTTTGCATATTCTATTGGTATGACTATTCGGTGATAAGGACGAAAGCTCTAGTCGAGAGGACGCGACTACAAAATGCCCTAACACACGCACTTGAATTGCTTCTATATATTTTAAATGTATGCTATAAGTCATTACCCGGCGTCGCCCAGGTCAAATGAATTGTTTGGAAATGCAAGTAATTCCGAGTTCGCTTGTATTAAGTATAAAGTGTTAATAAGTGTTGAAAATTAAAAGAATCTGTTTTCATTAATTAAATAACTCATAGCAATTAAATTTGTTAAAATTTTATTGACTATTTCACACTTTTTGAACAATCTAATCCTCTGGGCGGAAAATGCCAGTCGAAGGTTATATGGGCAAAAATCAAAATTGAGTCTGATTGGTTTTAAACCTGTCTTAAGAGCTTTACATTTTAACTGAATGAGGCGTGCTCCGCTAAGCTAATTGTCAATATACCCCGGATAACCCTGATAGGGGGTATATAAATATAAAAGTATATGTATTTACTTATGCTTTCATATATGCTTTCTGTCACAGTTGCCAGTTGTCGTTTATAAAGAGTGGTTTGCTAATCAATTTAATCAGAACAAAAAAAAACACATCTCTTGAAAATGTTTTGCATTTTTAAAATGCAATTTATGTGTCTACTGTTTTTAATGGGTTGCTTTGTTGCTCTTGTGTACGCTTATGAAGAAAACGATATACAAGTGATAGTTAAAGGCAAAGAAGTCGAGATTAGTGTACACGGTATTGAATATAAATGCTAAAATCAATAATGTATGTCAAAAATGTTATTTAATATTTATTTATATCTTTTTGTCACTTTCGCAGATAATCCTGAAGTCAAAACATTTTTCTTTTCAATGGACATTGGCGAGGAGTGCACTTCAGACTATAAATTTGTCCATAACCATGAAAAGAACAGCACATTTTTCTATAAGATAGATATAAACAAAGAACTCCGAAAGGACGATAGTCTACGAATTATCGGGATCTTTGAAACTAAAGATAAAGTAATAGCGAAAACATACGATTTAATCATTGATGGGTCTGGGAGGGGAGTCAAGCAAGATATTCCAAAAAGGTCCGATTGCGTCCTATCTGAGACGATAGTGAATTCAAAAGAGCAACCATGCAGCCAAGTTCTTATATTTAAGGAAGATTTTGATCTGGGACTTTCCGGTTGGACTTACGAAAGACGCTCACGAATCTTTGACCCAGTTCCCGTTCAGGAATTTGTGGCTTATGTGAATAATACTTACCTATATAAGGGCCACCTGTATTTAAACGCAAATTGGGTTAATGATACTTATTTTAGATTAGATGGTTGCACAAGCAAACATAATGGAGACAAGAATATATTAAAACGTCAGTGTGGACCACTATCACTAAGGGGAGGTGTAACAATACCTCCTGTTCATTCAGCAAAACTGCATAGCTCTTTTACCTTTAAATATGGACGGGTGGAAATAAGAGCTAGGATGCCCATCGGCGACTGGCTATTTCCCTGTGAGTTTAATCTAAAAATAAAATGTATATTTTGCTTAGTCTTAATTCATATTTTAGATCTAATCCTGCAGCCTGAGGGCACATACAGTGAAGATAATTACGTCAATCATTTGCGGATCGCCTATGCTCGAGGCAACAAAAAGTTACAAGATAATAATGCCATGCCAATCGGTGGAGATGTGCTTTTTGGAAGTGCTGTACTTTGGTCCATGAATGGCTCCAAAGAGTATATGACCATAAAGCGAAATTTGAACGAAGCGCCATTTGGCGAAAAGTTTCACATTTACACTTTAATTTGGCACAAGGACCGCATTATATTTAAGGTGGACGGATTAAAGTACGGAACAATAACGCATCCCGATGTGCTTCGGACGTTCGACTTAAACGAGGTAAGCATAGTCTTGTATAACCACGCCTTTAATTTCGTAGGCCCTATCTAGTATTTCCGAATATATGATTTTTTAGATATTGGGCCTTTACTAAATTATTTATGTTGTGGTAGATTAAACTGATTTCTCTATTTCTCGTATCTGAAATGTCACACATACATATGTACGTGCTTCCACGAACCATGCAACATATGTTGTATGGCTAGTGTGGCTACGTATCCCAAAATTGATGTACTTATGTATATTACAAATACGCATACAAAATTAAAAAAAGGTTTTTGTAAACGTAAAAAGTGACATGATAATTGTTTTGCCATTAATATCCAATTTTAATATTGACATCTGTATACTACAGTTGATGTCTTCTAATGCATCTTTGTTCTTCTTTTAATAACAAACGATTTCCATTTATTCATAACTTCTCTGTAGTGTTTTATAGTGTTGGGTCTGACTGCAGGTGGTGGCCTTAACTTCCGACAGGATTACTTGATGCCACAACAGGTAAAATTCATGAATGGATCAGTAAAGGCTACGGAACTTTTTGCTGAAAATACGAAGGAGAAACCCTGGGAACAGCCCAATCTGGTTATTGACTATGTACACGTTTACACAACTCATGCAAATGAAGAATAATTGAGAAGTTTACTTATACGATGCATTTTATATATTAGGCAATAAAGAAAGGCTTAATAAAGTTCAACGTCAGTACGTTAAAATGTTTTTCCATTGTTCTTTTTGGATCCGTTGTTTCGTGAGTTCTGTGTTGACTTCTTTTTGCGCTTATCTGATGACCAGTCCACATCATCTTCGTCATCGGTACCGCCCGTATTGCCAACCGACTGTAAATATGTTGAAGTAGAGGTGGAGCTTGCGCTGGTTCCCTCCTTGGTTGCCAATCGTCGACTGGCAATGCGAGATGAGATGCGCCCCATGCCCATGCATTTCTCTAAGTGTGGTGCAAATCTGGTCGCCGCCACTAATCTGTCACAGTTTGGGCAGGTGCAGTCCATCGGCTTCTTGGCTGTTGATATGCCAAAAATGTCCAAATTTGGCATCTCACAAATTCGGTACGCAGACTCTGCATTTTCTTCGCCGACACCATCAAGTGCTGCCAGATTGCCGGTCTTACGCAAATGATGAATTTCTATAAAAATGCCGGCTACTACATCATCGAGTAGCCCCTGGAATAAATAGTTTGCAGCATCGTCCAATCCTTTTGGTTCCTTGATTAACTCTCGAAAATTGTGTAAAATGGCTGACGCTGTAGTGTGCCCCTGTGCCATTGTGGGCAGTTGAGATGCGTTTCCGGTCGATGAACTCATTAGATGCAATTGATTTGCATTTGAATTAGCCATATAGCACTTGAAATACTTTTTTTGCTATGGTTTTTTGATAGAGTTACCATGCTTAAGAAAAATTAAACGTATCCAAAAATCTGATGCTTATCGATATTTTGATCAACTGAGATGAATCGATATTTTATTTTATTTGTTATAGCCTTTTTCCACTATGCTTATTAAATGTAACATTTTCAAAATTTACATATTCAAATTTACATATTTACCTCGAAGTAGGGGCATTTATTGGATTCTTTGCGGGATTTGGCCATCTTTAAATATTAAGAACAGTGGGAATATTAAAATTTTAAGTTACCGCTTGTCTTGTTGCTAAATCAGCTGTTTTCACAACATCGATAGAAAACTCGATGAATCATCGCAAAAAACACGAACTGTTCGGGGCGAATTTACACATTTTTTTAAACTATGCTGTTTTCTTATGGGAAAACGTACGGGTCGCAATTTACACATTTTTCAAAAATGTCACATTTTCGAAATGTATAAGAAATGTGGACAGGCTATAATAAACAAGCTGAAATAACGAGTGTCAATACATGACAATAAAATAATCAAAATCTGCACAAAAGGGGCGGATTTTGCGAAAAGTGAACATGTATTAAATTAAATTTCAATAGATCTTTACAAATATAAAAATATAACAAATAGAAAAGTTTCATATAGCCGTTTCCCACTAAGTTTACAGTTGCGGGTAAAAAATTCCAAAATCTCTGAAACACACATATACAGTAAGCTTAGAATATATTTAAAAATATATTTTTAGCGTACCAGACGAAACGTATGGCTTCGGCTGTTCAGCATATGGTCTGCATGAAAAACAAAATTACAATCGTAAAATTTTTATCAATGAAAATTTCAATATATTCAACAATTAATTCAGCTTCTGCTTCTGCCTTACAACAAACTTAGTTTAATTTTAGAATTTTCATGTTTAATACAACTTTATGCGGTAATAATTTAAAAGAAAATAAAGTGAGATTTTGCACAACGCAGAGCTTGGTGTTTTTTGCGGAAACATCATCTATCGAATATATATCGCATTCCCAAAAACATCGGATTAATCACGTATTCGTTTTCAGAACATCGATGATGTATAAAATCGACGTCTCGAAAATCGCAACTCTACCATTCCCGGAGCACCACAATTTAATAGATATTTTTAACATGTTTGGGATAAAATGACGCTTCATAAAAAACAAGAACTATACAAATCGCTTGTAGAGAAAATATTTAGCAGGTGCCAGCAAATACAAGCGGAAAATGAACGATGCGTTATGAGGTAAGCACAAAGAACGCAAAATTCTCGTTCAGATATAAAAGGCGGCGCCATCAATTGCAGAGTAAATGGAATTAAGAAGATCCTACGCCGGCGCACACACGATCTGGTGTTACTGAAGAAAAAACTTGACAAACATGGTGATGATTGGCGTTCAATACCAATGATGGGGCCACAGCCAAAGGGAAAACCCGAGCAAAAACGTCGTGGACCAAAACCTAAGAGTAAACAGACAATGACAGATGTAACATCGGAAACAACATGCAAGCCCAGAAAACAGCGCGTGAAAAAACAACCATCAGATGCCAATGCAACCACAGCTCACCATGCGATACAGCTTCAACAATTATCTACGGTATAAAGTTATTCAAAATACATGCAACTTTTAAAAATATGCAGTTTTTAGGAGGCTGAGTTGGTATTTAATTACATAAATTTTGGAATACTTATAGAAATAAAAACAAATTCCGGGGGTTATCGCTGGATTGAAAGAAATGTTTAGGGGATGGCACCCATAACAATCTATTCAGCTTGTCGCAAACGTGCCAGTCGCTGTGTCAGCTCATCCTGTTCCTGTGAGACTTGCGTGGAGGCGCCAATGGTAGAACTTTGTACACCGCTGGGTAGCTCCATGTTCAGCTCGAGACCGGCTTCATCGGCAACTTGTTGCAAGAGATTGTCAACATCTCCTTGGGGCACCGATGTGGTCACCGTATCAGACATAGTGCCTTCCATCACTGAGCTTTGTACATCCAAATCTTCAAACTGCGATTCGAATTTCTCCATTAGCGATGAGATTTTTTCCAGATTCATGCCTTTCATTGCAGCATCCATGGCTTTAACCACACCGGCCATTGAGCCGGTGACTTTGCGTGTTGTCAATGCCGACTGAACTCGACTGGCAACTGCATCCACACGCGCACTCATGCGCAGGTAATTCACGGCTTGATTCTTTTGTCGAATAGCATTCTCGGCATGAATGCGAGCCACATCCATATTACCCTTTTGAATGGCTTTTTTAGCTTTTGCCTTTTCAAGTTTTTCTTCTTTCTCACATTTCTTTGAATTGCGTTCCAGCTCTTTTACGGCAAACTTTAAATTGAAAAGGTGTTCTATGGAAGTGTTGGGTGTGTTATTTTTGTTTGGCGATTGGGAAATGGCGTCATTGATTTTACTTACTTTCCATTGAAGATGTAGACATATCGTTACCCAGTTTGAAGCTGTTTTTGTTGATGCCGGTGATTAAAATGTTTTGATTTAAAGAATTTGGCAGTTTTCTTGTTAGATTTGCTCGGTTTTACCTCTTTGTGATTTCCTTATTATACGCATGAATCACTTGTTTTTAACCAGCCAGCTGCTTTAGAGGTGGAAAACCATTAATGGAACTATCGATTACATAGACAGATTATTTTTATTTTTAAAAATAGACTATCGATATTTTCCTAGCTCTAACACTTTTTGAGAAAGAAAAAAAAGCGGTGGTGTTGGGTAAAGCCGTAGAGTGCAGCATCAAAATTATGAACAAATACATGGAAAGTATTTCAATCATCACAGTCGGATGCCATTGATGTTGTAAGATAATACTTTAAAAAGTCAAATGAGCGGCAGAAACGAATATATTGGCTTTTAATATACATAGTTTACTGTTTACTTTATTGTTAATACAAGCTACAAGTTTGCAAGCCAAAAATGTCTTTTTGCCTAATTTAACATTCCGACGATGTCCACGAAATGTGAGCGAATATTTACCAAGGCTGGTTAATTATATCAAATCGTAGGTGTTCGCTGAAGCCGAAAGTAGAGGACATGTTATTATTTCTATCGAACGAATCAGAGATTGGATTAATTTCAGTTACTTTCTTATGTGGCAAGAAAATATATTGCCAAATAATTATATATGCGAAATAAAAAGAAAAAATATATGTACATATGCTAAAAAAAAATTGTCTTCTGCAGCTCTGTTTAAATATTGTACAAATAGCGGCTTAACATGCAGAGCACTTCAACAATAATGTAAGATAATATCATGATTATATTCAATTTATACAAATAGTATGCATAGTTATAAAATATGTATTGTCATGCTTACTAATGCTGAAAGCTATTTAACTTACTGTCATAAGGAATCATCTTCTCGTTTCCATAAGTAAGCACTTTCATAAATTGGCAGAGCCTAGCTTAACGGCTCTTTTAAGTATGTATGTATGTATGTGTGTACATTGAAACACAACTCAAATGATATTTGGTAAACTAGCGTGTTTTTGCCACGCCGTGTTGTCTAGTTTTGTTGAATACTTTTTATGAAACCTTTACAACAAATTCTAGATTGCAGGTCAAATATTACAAAACCCCGTGTTGGAATGGACAAAACAATTTTTTTGTTTGAGTTACTTTTTATATTTATTAAAAATCTTGATTATTTTGTTTTTAAATATAGAGGTTTATCCACTGTCCAATGTCATATTCAGTGGACTGGCTGTGCATGCTGCGACGGCATCAATGAGACATTGCTAAGAATAGCAAGTTGCAGTTGCAGCAATGGCTTTGCCTTCTTAAATTGTTTTTTATACCCTTGCAGAGGGTATTATAATTTTGTCGTGAAATGTGTAACGCATAGAGGGAGACATCTCCAACCCCATAAAGTATATATATTCATGATCAGTTTCAACAGGCGAGTCGATATAGCCATGTCCGTCTGTCCGTCTGTCTGTTTCTATGCGAACTAGTCCCTCAGTTTTAAAGCAATCTTTATGAAACTTTGAAGAAGTGCCTCTTACTGTTGCACGCAGAACATCTGTCGGAGCCAGCTGGATCGGACCACTAAATCATATAGCTTCTTGTATGGACAATTTTTTTGTTTTTCAAGATATCTTGACCAAAATCGGCATTTATTTGTTTTACTATGCTCCTTATATATATGCAAAATCCTATTAAGATCGGACCACTTTATCATATAGCTGCCATAGGAACGATCGGTCGAAACTAAGTTGTTGTATGGAAAATTTTTTTATTTTTCAAGATATCTTAACCAAACTAGAAATCTATTGGTTTTCCTAAGCTTCTCGTATATATGCAAAATCTTATCAACATCGGACCACTAAATCATATAGTTGCCATAGGAACGTTCGGTCAAAAAATAAGTTGTTGTATGGAACATTTTTTTGTTTTTCCCGATATCTTGACCAAACTCGGTACTTATTAGTTTTACTATGCTCCCTACATAAATACAAAATCTTATTTACATCGGTATACTTTATCATATAGCTGCCATAGGAACGATCGGTCGAAAATTAAGTTGTGGTATGGAACATTTTTTTGTTTTTCATGATTTCTTGATCAAACTCGGCATTTTATTGTTTTACTATGCTCCTTATATATATGCAAAATCCTATTAAGATCGGACCACTATATCATATAGCTGCCATAGGAACGATCGGTCGAAAATTAAGTTTTTGTATGGAAAATTTTTATGTTTTTCAAGATATCTTGACCAAACTCGGTACTTATTAGTTTTACTAAGCTCCCCTTATATATGCAAAATTCTATTTAGATCGGGCAACTATATCATATAGCTGCCATAGGAACGATCGGTCGAAAATTAAGTTTTTGTATGGAAAATTTTTATGTTTTTCAAGATATCTTGACCAAACTCGGTATTTATTAGTTTTACTACGCTCCCCATATATATGCAAAATCCTATTAAGATCGGACAACTATAGCATATAGCTGCCATAGGAACGATCGATCGAAAATTATGCTGTTGTATGGAATATT